TATTTATTATTTGCTTTTTTCTACTTGATCTTTTTGTTAAATTTATGTACTAATGGATTTATCCCGTAAAAAAATAAATAAATAAATAAATTAGATAACCTTCGTTTGTGGAAGGCCTTAAAAAAAACATATATTTTTTCTCTCCGAATTTACAGTAGTGCAGTATACTCAGATATTTTGAAACGAAATCGAAGGATATTTTTCTTATTTTTGGGATTAAATTTAAATCCCATATACTTTATCTACTTATCTCTTGTGAATACATAATTATATTACTTACAATTGTTTAAAGTATGTAATTCTGCCTTCGTTTACATTTAAATATATCAGTATAGTTATTTGAGGGTTTTACTAGTCATTTCGAAAATTAATGAATGTCACATAGTATATATATTAGTATATATATATATTATATATTATCAGGTAATTATTCGCATTTTTTTCTTATTGAACTTCCAACGATGTTCAATAACGAGTGCAAATTACGCTGAGTTTTTCTCGAAAAGTGAAAGAAAGAGTGGGGAGTTGATGTAGACCGGACAAAAAGAGAACGAGAAGAAGGGGGGGAAAGAGAGTAAGTAAGTGAGAAAGAGAGAGAGAAAGAGAAAGAGAGGGAAGGGTTGATGAGTGCAACCGGTGTCTTCCTCCCCACCTTCCGCTTCGGACAGACGGCAAAACGACCTCGCGGCTTTCCGTTACCTAAATCGTTCTGTCAGTTTACTACGATATCTCGTTGAAGACTGACGTTTCTGTGACAAACATTTCGCGACAATAACTAAATAGTTCATATAACATTGGTGACAAATTTTTAAATGATATCGAAAAAAGCAACGTGTGTCTTGATTCATTCTTCAAAACGTAGTTTTCTATTTGTGATTTTTAATCGTGATTTCGAAGAGAATAATATTTAATTAATCTTATTTGTTTTATTTCAGTCAAATTTCAACGAGGTATTATATTTAGTATCCTTTTGAAAATAATCACACTCATCGCGACTATTTGTTTTTTTTTTTTTAGAAATCGAAAAGGAAGAATGCATCGCGGTTTACGACACTTCGGATTTTTCTTTAGATTTTCCCTCGGTTTTTTAAATTAAGCGTTCCGTTCCCGTCCGAAGTAAACCATAATTCGTTTATCAAGTTACTGGTACTCTCTCCTTCGCTCCGCCCCCAAAGAAAATTCTATTCATTATTCCTCTACAAATATAATATTTCGATTTGTTCTCGTTAAAATAACGTATATTTGTCAGAATCAAGCGTTGACAAAATTTCGCTAATAAATTCTTTATACAATTCGATGTACCTTTATGGGAATACATGGTTTATACAACGAGATCTTTTAATCTTTAAAAAAAAATGTTCAACAAATATAATTGAATTACAAGATTTGAAAAAGTACTTACTCAGATAACGCATCGTTTTATGGTGTTTTCTTAAGATCTTGAAAAATCGTCGAATTTTCTTCGTAATACGCAGAGATGATCGAACACGAAAGAATCATTCGTTAAAATGTATAAAATACATGAAGTAAATGTAAACTATATGAGAGTACAATCAAAGGATAACGTGAAAGAAAGGACATGATAACAGAAAAAAATAAAAACGGAGAGAGAGGGAGAGAGACAAACGGAACTCAAGTAAAAACTCAGAAACAAAAAGAGAGATGAAGAGAAAGTGAGAATGAAACGAGTGAGGAGAGCAGAGAGTGGGAGAGCGAGTTATTAAGAGCACGGGGAAGGTCGAGCATGGTGGGGTGGTACCTAGTGACGTAATTAATTCAAAACGAAGACACGACGCAGCGCCACGGAAGGGAAACAATCAGCTGTTGACTCTCCTCGGAGGTATTTGGCGCGCTAGCTCTTTTGCTCGTAAAGAAGAAAAAAAACACTAATAAAAAAAAACATAATTATTTTCTTTTTTTTATCAACGAAAATTTTTAAAGAGGTATTATGTGAAATTTATTTTAAAACTTTGGACGATCTAATTAAAAAAAAAAAAAAAAAAAAAAAAAAAAAAAAAATAAGAGAAAAATGCATTATTCATGCAAAGAAAGAAATTGTAAAATAAAAGCGTAATCTAAAGAATTGTCACTATACGGGACACACACGTCAAAAAAGAAAAAAGAAAAGCTGTGACATCGTAATGAAAAATAATATTTCTCATTGTTTCTTTTCACGACTATTTGAAAGACATCACGAAGCTAATGCAAGAGTCAACTTAGCGCGAAAGTTCATTCTCTTAAAACTTTATCTTCCCGAAAATAGATAAGGGAAAGAACATTGGTGCCAGGACGAGGGCGTAGGAAGGACTGAGAGAGGATCTAGAAGCGAATCCTGCCATCTCGAAGGACCGTCCAACGGGAACTGTACCGTCGAACGTCGCGACGCCGGCGTCTGCGTCCCATCTGCCTATGTACATATATATGTATATATATATATATCTATATGTATGTATATATGTACACCTATTGTATATATAGGTATATGTATCTACGCGCTTACATATATACACAAGCTTGTTTAATATGTTATCCGTGTATGCGTGAATATCCTCCGCTAGATTCAATCCGTCTTCGGTTAGACAGTATATTTCGCCGAATACTTTCAATTCTTCCACGTCTCGTAGTTGCGCTATATTTCACTCCTTTATCATACACGCGCGAGTCTGCCGGAATTCAAAACGTACTTACGTGATATGAGTAATATTGTAATTCTTAACAAAGAAACACGTAGAAAAATATATTTCCGATCGATAAAACGTAATTCGATAAAAGGAAAATAAAATATTAAATTATATTTATTCGTCGAAAATCATTTATAGATAATTATTCAAAGTTATCTATATATTTTTATAAACGAGTATACGTTATTAAATAAAAAATAAATTGTTAATTAAGGAATTATTTATTATATTTAAGATAAGGTAAGATAAAAAGTCAAATCTAAAGAAAAGAAATACGTCGACTAAGGAAAATTTCGAATTTGTATTTTTCCAAGTTTCTCATCAATACTTTTTCTGAGAATCGCGTCCTGCGCGCAGAAACTCACCCTTTGCCAACCCCCGCGTAGAACGCGACGCCCTCGAGGCAACTCCTGCCTTGGATGGGTGGCACGCAGGCGTCAACATGGCCGCGGCACGTCGACTCCATCCGCCTAAACGAGTCTGTCCTTCGTTTAACTCCTATCAGTAATTAATAAAACGCCACCAAGTGCTCCTTGACCGAAGATGTCGCGTAAAAGTAGAAACTCGATTGAAGAGAAAACAATATATTTTTTGTGATGTGTTAATATCGACTCGAGAGGAAACGAGTGTATCCTTTAAAACAATGCGATTATCATCTAAGTAATTTATATCGCCGTGAAGTGTTTCTTACGGAAGAAAATATTAGTTAATGAATGACAAAAATGAAATCATCGTTGACGTTCTGTTTATGTAGACTTCAAATAATTCTTTTTTAAAGAAAATATTTCTCGTAGAATTTCTTGAACGTTAACGACGTCTTTCGATTTTTATTTGCATGATCGAAACAGTTATTAACAAAAAATCTGAATTTGTTTAACGCAATATATCCCAAAACATACATACCCTAATTATTATAAATTGTCGAATTAACCGTTCCCATATAGCACATTTCTTTCAAAATATTCAATGTTCCTCTCTTCGAGTCTAAAACCACATTGAATATGATCGTATATTAGTTTCTAATTATTTACATCGTTCGTCCTTTTATTGAAAACATTATACACAAGGAAATAACATTCGTCAAATTAAGAAACGATAATTCACTGCTTATACTCTTCCAGGAAAGAGAGAGAGAGCACAATATAAACAGAGAGTATTCCAAGTACGTCCTTTGAGAGAGCTTTTAGATCTGTTTTTTATTCTCTTGGCTTATATTATACGACTCATACCATTCCTTCTTTTACAATAGCGGAAGAAGAAAAGAGAAAGAGAGAGAGAGAGAGAGAGACAAAAAAACAAGAGAGAGGAATAAAAAGCACAAAAAACGACATATCTTGAACGGTAGTTCATTAAAGCAGAGGGACGACTCGAGTTAACCCCTCGCCGATGAAACTGAGTCACGTCGTGCAGCCGGCTGGCCGTATATGCAAATCACTCGCGTGGGGTATTCCCCTTTTCTCCCTCTTCCTATTTCCCTTTCTCTTCGCTAACATTGAGTGGAGAAAAAAAAAGAGACTTCGATGGTGGGGATGAACGAGAAAGCTCATTAGTTATTTTTCTATCGTGATAGGGGTATTCCGTTGGTAAACGGCAGCCATCGTAACTTCCCTCACAGTTACCACTACTACTGCTACCACTACTCCTTCCACCACCACAAGCATTGACCACCAAACTGCTCTTGAATTGTTTATGCGAGAGCACGCTTTATGGTACGATAGGTGGGTTTATATCAGTGACCCAAAAACATATCGTACTTTTATACGAATTATCGAGCACGACGATATAAGTTATGTTTTTATTGTTTTTTTCTATTTATATAAACAATTAAAGAAAGAGCAAATTTCATCGCGTTTCTATTATATTATGTGTACAACTTGTTTTTATTGTAATATATTTTAACGACAATAACAATTATGAAGAATAAATCATTCTTTTTGAAAAATAACACATTACGAATAATAAGTTAATGCGATAATTTAGATTTCACTCTGACTTCGTCGTTTCCCGAGTCAGTGATTCGTAATAACGTATGCAAGCGCTAACACGCGAGAGAAATCGTTCGATAAATCAAATCAGAGAGTCATTGTACATTCGCGGCCTTCTCAGGTATAGCACAGGATTGCCAAAATTGCGTCGGAGAAAGAGAGAGAGAGAGAGATAGAGAAAGGGAAAGAGAAAGAGGGTAGATGAAAATGATTGAGAGGAAAAAGGAGCGAGTCGTGAGAATGAAAAGCGCAAGGAAGGATATTCAAATTTGGAACCCTCGTTAGTCCTCGAATTTCTCAATGTGCAATAATTTATCATCGGGCCCCGCTGAGGTGAACGATCGTATAATACCGGACTACCTGCATGCATAATTTATCCGGATTTTCAAGAAAGAAAGAAAGAAAGAAGGAAGGAAGGGCCCAAAAAGAAAAGGGTTGCTTCCGCAGGAACGTATATCGATTCTTTTATTTTTCCGTTTTTACCCTTCTGGTATGTAAACGAAATAAAATGATAAGTAAAAAATTAAATTCACCGATATGCGTTTATTAAATCACGAGATGAACTTGCAGACAACATTTCTAGCAAGTTACACCGTAGTCGGAAGATTCAGTATTGAACAAGATCAAAGTATTTTTTCTAGCTAGAATAATCCACAGAAAAAGGGATAAAAAGTTCAACGATACAGCCCTGGACCCTTTGCACAGGATCCTACATGTCACTGGTGTGTACCTGTGAGACCAGGAAGGAGCCCTCAACCCTTTTCCTTAGAGAAGGAGAGACCTCTTTTTATGCGTGCATCAGGAAAAAAGCAAGAAAGAGAGAGAGAGAGAGAAAAGAGGAAAAGGAAACTTCCCTCCCTCTCGGATGCTAGCAATCCTACCCCACCGGTTTCATCCTGCTTTTTCACGATGAAAAGGCCTCCAATGGGGGTTGATTCAATGGTATTCTAATTATATGCAAAGACGTATGACTACGATGTACCATCGGTCTCTTATGTAAGAAAGAAGGATATGCTTACGTAACGTACGATTCCTTTTCCGGTAGGAGCACGTAATTCTCCTTTGAAAGCGAAATAGATCCGAGCTAATCGCGAAACGGAACTACCTACTACCGTCGCAGTGGAACATTATTTTATTTTTTACCTTCGATTCGTCATATTTTTATTTATATATAGTACGAACGGTGCGCTTGTTTATCGATCCCCTATCCAATTGTAGACATTCTCGAAATTCAATTTACGTAGTCTTCTTTAACCGCTTGTATAACTTTCCCTTTCAGTTGCGATAAGATATATGTATGTATGAGACGAGAGACTATCGATGAACGTATGAGTTATCGTCGATGCCCAAATTGCTTGCCAAGCGCGGTGATGTAGAGCTCCAGGCCGAAGATTTATTTCTCGAATGGAATGGTAAGTTAGTAAAGCTCTAAGCCGCGTAGCGTCAAGCTCAAGGAACCGAAGTCTCGCCTCGTTTCATGGCTGCTGAATGTATCAACGCGAGCAACGTACTCAAGACTCGATTCTTTCGGTAGACTTCATCGTGCTCCCACATTATTTCCTTCCTTCGACACCGCACAAGCCCAATTTCACGGAAACCTCCTTCTTACTGATCGTAAGGCAAACGAAAGGTTATATTATATATGTAGAATATAGGACAGAATAGTAAAAATGTCTCCGATTGATCAATTAAATTTGACTATTTCAACGACGGTATATGGATTTTAACATGAAACTAATATATCAAATGTTTTATCTTTTATTGAAAAAGATAAAAATATTTTATCTGTATTTTCGTCACGAATGGAAGAAACATTAAGCGATACAATTTTTAGCAATAGCCTGTTCTTTGATGTCATCCTTAAAGAATCCAAGAACGCCAGGAGGAAATATCGATATTCCATGGCTGTATCGGCCAAAATTTCAAGCATGGCCGAGCCGTTTGATGACAAACGCACCCTCGCAGGCAGAGAGTGGAAGCCGAAATGCGTCCACCCCGCCTATTCGAGGGGGATGAATTCGACCAATTGATGGGTTTCGAGTTGGGCCTGGATCAATCAACGAACGGCGTCGTTCAAAGCCAGTGGCCATTCCTACACCACTGACCTCGTTCGTTGCTTTTTCCTTTTTCAAAAGCAAATTGGATTTTTAATCCCATGCGTATGCCGACACAGGACGGTACTCTGTCCAAATTTCGTTTCGTGTCTTTCGATACACTTTAATCTTTGAAACATCCTACAAATATGCAAACTTATTCGAGTGGACAAAAACAGTCGAAATTCTGCGTGAAATTCTTTGTTATATTTTCAAATAATAAATGATACAATATAAACCTCTCTTTAATTTGTAATCATCAAAGAAATACAAATAAATAATTATTTATACAAAATTGATGAACAATCGTGATACCTTTTACGAGTTAGATTACGATGTCTTCGTTAGAGAAAAAAGAAGATTACAATTTGCGTTTTAGCAGATCCCATACACACGATGCCGTTTATTTAACCCCACTTCTACCGCAAGTTTGCTTTTGTATATCGAAAATCCGGTTAAACGAGCCGATGATCAATTCGATCGGACAGCCATAATATCGCGGAGATGCTTCTCAACTCGCGATACGTGTGGAAAGGCAACGTAACGCAACCCTATCTCCTCTAGCTCTCGTTTTTCTCGTAGCCGCTTAAAATGTCTACCTGACGTGTTCCCCCTTTCTTATCCTTTCTCATTCTCTCTTTCTCTCTTAGATGTTCAGAATAATATGTATAAGAGAAAAGAAACGCGTAGCATAATACGATCCTGCCCTTACTCGTCCTTGCGAGGATAATGCGCAGGATAGGATACATTTATCCTAACCGAGACCCTGTTTCTATTTTTTATACCGACCCATGCGTGAATTATTAGCATATGGTATTTGATATATTCGATAGTTTACCAAGATAATACTATAGTTTGCATTATATTGTACGTTAGAATGAGCTCGCTGAACCAACATTTTCCTTTTACATATTTTAATCCCATTTATGTTAGGAAATAACGAAAGACAGTCTTCCTATGTTCTAGGAAAAACTAATTCAAAGAAATTAATTTACCATAAAGCTCAGAAGCGTGTTCAGGAAAATCAATTTGCAAGATATTTGGCGAGATGCTACGAGGCAAATAAATTTCACCTATTAAACTGTACCTGGTATCCGTGAGTATAACATTTGGAGCGTGTACGCGCGAGAAAATAATCCGTGTACAACGTGGCGACCCGGCTGAAACCGAGTTTAAGCTGCGTCAGATTGTCCTTTCACAAGCGTAGTAAGTCAACGTTGCTGTAATTTCAGAGGGCGCCGGCGCTATCGGAGAAATAAGCGTTTGGCGCCGCGTGCAGTTGATTGTGACGTATGATACTCGTACATTATACACCTCGCAGCTTCGTCTCGGTTTCGAGTTTCGACATTTTTCTCGGTACTTTATTACACGCTTGAGATATTTCGGCTCTCCCGCGTTTATATATCGCTTTCAGTCACCGTAAGAAAAAGTTTACGTTACGTTACCTACATATGTCAAAAAAATATCTGCAAATGTGCGCTTGCGTTTACGCGTGCGCAAAATCTTGGATTTTCAAAATCATCCGATACGTACAATTTTCATTAAAGAATGTTCTGATATGTTTACTCTGATAAAAATTAAAAAGTAATCTAAACTCGTTGGTATCGAATAAAATAATAGAATTTATTGTCAAAAATTAAAATATAAATGATAGTCTTTGTAAAAACTCGGAGAAAAAATCAAGACCTCGTTATTGTCGATATTAAATTGCTATAATTCCTTTACATTGGTATGAATGTAAAGGGAAAGTCAAAAGAAGGCGTTGAAGAGGCTAATAACGTCTCATAAAGTTTAATCACGGCGAAGGGAAAAGCTGAAGGGAACAGTGGAGCGTGCCTGGAGACCGAATTTTTTCCAGTGTAATTAAAAATTAATTCAGTATCCCTCTCTCTCTTTTTCTCTCTCTCTCTCTCTCTCTCTCTTTCTCTCTGTCTCTTTTGACAAAAAGTAGACATATATATAAATCGTAATTTTCTTTTTTCCATCAGAATACTTTTTCTTCGCAGAGTTTCCATACGAATGTTTGCATTAGGAAAGGGTAGACTATTATTTTTTATGTTCCATGACACGCCAGATCGACCTGGTGGTGAGATCATAAAGGATACCTCTCACCCTTATGAGAACACCGCAAGGTCGATAAAACAGTTCAACCCCTAGAAACTCGATCGCATCGATGTGGTAGAATACTTTTCTGAAGGGTAACTTTTTTCAATCGTGGCGATCCTAGCGGCGATTGTTCGTAACTTTAGATAAAATTTACCCTTCTGACATCCACCTCTTTCCTGTCTAAAAGTATTCTTTTTTAAACAACAAATCTCATTATTCCTAGAAAAATATAATCAATTATTTGTTATAACATTTACAAAGATTTATCAAAAAATAAACTGTATCATTAGGTTCATTATAAATTAGTTAAAAAAACTAATCCGATTTAAACTTTTCTAGCTTCTAATATGGAGTAAAAAAAAAAACAAACATCAAATATCTTATTGTCGTGATGATGTTAAAGAAGATAAAGATTCGTATGGTAAAACGTGAAAATAAGCGTTGAATTTTCATTAGCGCCTGAAGTCAGGCAACGAAATATACTCGAGCGAAAGCCGGGTTCACAGAACTGGAGAAGGGTTGACAGCTCCTGGATTTACATAATGCTTACGCCATAACGTAGGTATCCCGGTATACAACGTGACTGCATTGACATCACTGATACGTCTTCTATATCAATGGCATAGTTATAATCACGAATTCAAAGTTTTCGCAGTCAAATGTAAAAATGAGTTAAAAATTTATTGCAAAATACTTAATTCTAATATTGTTCATTAATATAATAGTACGAATATGGTTCAAAGGAAGAAAGATGTTTTTCCTTCCTATCTTCTTATCATTTTTACAAGGAAATTTTTCACAACAGCTACTCGTTGCAATGGTGAGCAGGCGGGATAACGAGACGTCTCCATCCGCGATTGCGGAGTAGGATTGGGATATCGTGATCAACGGTGAGAGCTGACTGGGATTTATAATTGATGAGAGCTATAGAACGACGCCAAGGTGTCGTTATCTGCGCTGACAAGATAATACTTGCGAAAGCCAAGAGCCCTCTTCGGTCCTCTTTCTCCATCCTACCACTTTTCTCTCTCTCTCTCTCTCTCTCTTTCTCTTTCTCTTTCTCTTTCTCCTACCGCTTTTCTCTTCTCGATAGCACTCCTATTTCCATGAACTCGAGGATTCTCTCTTTATTTCTTTTACACCCGATAGCTCTTCAAAAAGAGATCGGCTTAACACTGTATCATAGATAGATACATATTTGTATGTTTTTATATTTTGTTGTTTTTTTTTTCATAAAAAACGTATATATAATAGGAAGATTCGACTTCTCTGGTAGTATTAAGTAAGTGTAAGAAAGTGTTAATATAGAAGTGCCTCGATCCCATAAAAAAAAGTGTAAAAAGACGAATATTCGAAAGATAATAAAAATCAATAAACGTGAAAAAAATCCTAAAGAAGAAAACACAGAATCATTGTTTTCCTTTAAAATGCTGCTTTTATTATGACATCGATGTTACGTAGAGATGATAGGAGAAAAAAACAAAAAGAAAGAAAAGGAAGAAAAACGAGTTGGTCGTAAAAGGAAACGCGAGTACACAGGTATGACGCGACGAACAATTAAGTTAATGTTTCGAAGCCATTAGCTCATCGTCGTTGAAGCGACGCTTCGTAAACAGTGTCGAGTCGTCTCGATACCAGCCCCGTCCAGCTACGTCCGGCTTGGTGAGACACGAAATCGATAGGGTAACTAATCGATCTTCCTCCTCCTTTCTCGTTATTCTCTGAATTCCGAATCTACGATGGGGCAGTTCCACGTGGGTGCTGCTTGTCGGTATACGAATGGCCATAGTACGCTGTTGTCTGTATGCACGTACCGCATACAAGCACAGTCCAGGCGTACTTGCACGTTATCGAGATCACCTGCTGTCCACTCCACATGTCGCCCGCAGGCGAAATCGCGCAACCGACACCGGGCCTTTGCCTCAACCAATCGCCTCTTCGAGTATACCTTTTCTTTTCTACCTTCATCGAGTTACTTTTTTTTCGACACTGATTACACAATTCTCAAACTCGATCATTATCAAGATATATATTATACATCCCGAGTCATCGATGCTCTCTGTACTATCTTTCACTCTTATTAATCAAATTCGAAAATTCATGGTTTCTTTGGCGAATATCATTGGTAATTTTGGATACAAGTTTAATTGATATTATTTATCTACGACCTAAGGACCGAACGATCTTACGCTTCGTAAAGTCCGTTCTGGACGCTTACGCCATCATAGTTTTAGACATATTAGCAAAGTATGCAAAGTAAGGGTGACCGGTCCTTTAGGAAGACGATCTTCCAGATGGTCTGCTCTCAAGCCAATCCAGAAACCGTAAGACTATTCTTCGAAATTCCGGAATATTGAACCCGATTCATGGTTCGGCTCACGTCAGAAGAGTCTCCCTCTATCCATGATGCTTTTCTTTATATTTCAACGGACGGTCACCTTGTCGCGTCATCGTCTAACCACATCATTGACTCCTTTGACCATTCGCTCAAGTTAAATACTGGTAGAAAGCTTAGAATACTCTCTTCTTCGGTAAATGCGTTTGTATCTTCCGCATGCCAAAAATAATATCTTTCTTGGTATACATATTTTTGTTTGAAAATTTTTCTTAAGATTTACATGAACAATTTCATTTACGACAATATATTATGTAGCATCAATTAATCGTTTTCAAGGTAATATGATATTTAGCACGATATTTGTTTTTACTAGCTGAATGACGGATCGTAAATTAATGTTGTGTACATAAAAAGTAAGAGAAAAAAAGTTGAAGGGCGATAGCACGGTTATAGTTACTCGCAAGGGACAATTAGAGTGGTCCACGAAGGAACGGGATATCCCGTCGTGGCTCCGAGTTAATGTACTTAGGCGACTCCGATTACATTACCCCACCGTTACCGAGAACGAGGAGGGCTGAAACTTCAAGGCCGAGGCGCCACGTGTTTCGTGGTTAACTGAAAAGCTTCTCGTAACGCTTAGTTAAAAGCTATATGTATATACTAAGTTTTTACCCCCCGATTTCAAATTTGATATCCATAACATTTATTTTTACAACTTTCACGATGTTATAATCGTTCAGAAAATATACAGTTTTAAACGTTTTTGTATTATTTACAAGTAGTGTATTTTTGTCCTTGCTGAAAACACATTGATTATTATTTAAACAGAATCATCAGCTTGATGTTCTTTTACATGGAGAATAAGAAAAAGCAAGAAGAAAATAAATATGATCGTTATCCAGCCCCCTTTCTTAACCTTCGTCGAATGTACGTACCCTCCACCCATCGCATTATCAAATATCGATGCCACGTGAATTTTCTGGGACACCGGCAGGAAGCTATAGTGCCACCCTCCGATTACAATGGCAGATAGCAACGGGACTATTACGCCGTATCTTGCAGCAGGAAAGATGGCTGAGAAATATGAAAAAACTCCGAGATACTAACGATTTTTGTCCTGCGAATACGCAACGAACCTACATATATAAACCTTCATTAAAATATTACCCCAACAGGAAAATTATTTAAAATATATACATTTTTCATGAGTATTCTTTCTCTGTCTATTTTTCATAGAAAAATTCTTTCAAGAATTATAGAAGACTAAGCGTGCGAATTTGTTCGGACTCGTTTAATTGAACCAATCGACCGCGTATTATCCGTATTAAGCTTTTCGCTCGGTTTCTCTCCTCGAGCTGATTCTGCTAGCGTAATTTTGCGACTGTCGGATAATTCGATCCACTGGAGATTTAAGTGGAATAAAGGGGAGAAAAAGACGAAGAAAACCTGTAGTTCGGGCCAACGGAGACTATTAATGTACCCTTACCAACATCTACTCGATATCGGCTACGACTCTTCAAGATGTCTTACCAACTACAAAATATCAAAACTTTCAACAGTATATTGAATATAAAAAGAAAAATATATTAGATAATCAAGAAAGTTCGTGGCATTTTAATCAATAGAGATAAATAATATACAAATGTAAATAAATACGAGACAAACTTTCTTTACTTAGACTTTACATAATATATAATATAATCTTTATTAATAAAGAAATAAAACATGTTTACAAATATTATACATCAAAGAAAAATGAATAAAATAAAAGGAAGAAGGAACACAATAGTTCTCATTGTTCTTGTTTCAACAAATCTCCAAACCTTCGGCAAACGCGATCTTTCAATATACTTACTGATCCAGTAGTAAGCATTGCCAAAGATAAAACAGTAAACAGGTCATTTGATCCATTGAAACCAATTGGGATATTGAACTGCTTTTAAGAAATCTTGTACTCTCTCTCTCCTTCTTTCTCTCTCTTGAGTACCGAGTGGAAGGAAGAGAATAGGAGAGAATGCTTCCATCGTCCTTCGGGATTGTCCGTCACTAAATAACCCGAAGGCATTCCGATCCTTGTGGTCGCGGGAGCGTGTTGATAAGCCGGGGAGATGGTCTCGGTTAATCACGCAATTTTCATCAGTTTCTATCAACCGCAACCCTCGTAGCCCCCTCGAAACTAAGAGGTGGTTTGCCTCTCGATGAGAGAAGGTGACTGGTCGGTTAAAGAAGGAAGCAATGGCGCAGAATAGAGGTGGGCAATTGCTCGTAACTTGCTAAACCAGCTCCTTCCGCTACCCCCTCAACCCCTCGATACACGTCGACCAGCAAAAGTCTGTTAAACTCACCAACGAAAAGCCCTTCGCTAAATCTGACCGACCCTTCGTCGCGACGACCATCTTCCTTCCTTCCTTCCTTCCTTCCTTCCTTCCTTCCTTCCTTCTTTCCACCCTCTCTTACTTGATAAAAGGGTTAGTTGCTGTCCTCTTACAAGAGCATGGGTGAATATACTAGGGAGAAATTAACTCTTTAAAATTAGAAGCATTTGGAAACAATTAATAGCCCATTATCAAAAACTATTCCTATCAAATGCGCGGTTTATTGCTGTTATCGTTTTTATTTTTAAAACAACAGCTTCAAGATTCTATTTAAATTGATAAACTTCTTATTAATCGTGCCAAGTTGTTGTTACAATTTTAACAGGAATATAAAATAACGAACAACTCGTTCTCAACGGTGTTGGTACGTTAATTAAAATAAATTATATAATATTAGTAAGCATATAAATCATTGTATAATTTTTTTCTATATATCTTTGGTTTCTACAGAAAGGAAGAAAGAAAGAAAGAAAGAAAGAAAGAGAGAGAGAAACCATTCTATTGCGTACTTCGGAATGAATTCGTTTTTCAGAAATTCGGTCGCGGAAAAAAGCGAAAAGGAAGGTATAAAAAGGAACGACGAAAATATTGCTTGAAATCGGGGCGCGAGAGAGTGTCGAGATCGTGGAAGGATGAAAAGAGAGCGAGGTTAGAAAAGAGGATGAAGAGATGACGCGAGGAAGGAAAAGAAGGAGAGAAAAAAACAGAGAGAAAGAGAAAGAGAGCGAGAGCAAGAGCAAGAGCAAGAAAGGGACGAAGAGAGAGGAAAGTTCGGTCGGAGGGTAGTTGGGTACTCAGAAACTCGCGGAGACCCTCTAACGAGCTCTTTTCTTCCCTTCCTATTTATTTCTGTTCCTTATTTAACCGACCCCCACCAGCTATGCTTCATCCTCCTCGGGCTCTCGTTTTTCTCGTCTCCGATGGAAGACCGAAACTTCTCTTTCTTCGTCGTAGGAGCAGGAACCCACCCTCTAGGCATCACTGAACGAGGACCAACCTTGAGGACCGCCCGAATAAAAGTGACGGCGGGGGAGGTGGAGCGAAAAAGATGAAAAGAGGAAGAAGGGAGAGAGTAATATGTTGGCGCATAATAAAAGCTCCTACACTACTGAATTTCTTTAAATCGTATTCGACGATTCGCACTTGCTGGTCGCCATTTTGAAATTATAGATAATAACGTCTAGATATTACGTATATAAAACTTAGATTATAAATTATGTGCGTATAAAGTCGTGTGTCTCTCATATATATTATCTCGTAAGAAGAATAAGATTCTCGTATCACTTTTGCGTTTCTATCATTATTTACACAGGCAGGAAAGAACGTTTTGATATTTTACGCAGTCGACGCTGTACCGTGCGATTTTCTTCTATTTTTCCTCCGATATTCGTCGGAAAATTGATTTGAACAGACATTTCTCTCTTTCTATCACTCCGTCACTCCTCTTTCCCCATTCTGTCTCTAATCCTCGTAGGAACCGCGGCAGCTTGTTATTAATGAATCTCCATGCGACTGTAGCTCGACGTAGGTAAAATAAAAAATGGCGCTCCCACGACTTTACCACCCCCGTGTCGCCAAGCGAGAGACAGGAGGGGTATAGGGAAGGCCGAAGTGGAAGGAATGACGGGGGTGAAACTGCACGAATAAAAATGCCCTGTTCCCTGTGGCAAGGAGGCGGCGGCAACGGCGGAAAAGAGGGGTGGACTAAAGGGGAGGGTTTGTGTGCTTCAACGACTTGTGATCTGATCAATAAGCCGGTATAGGGGATTATTTTACGACAAGCCGTAGTACGTGTTTTCTCACACGAGTTTAAACCTCTCTTTGTGAAAATATCGAAGACTCAATAATGATTGCGATTCGTTCGAACGTTCCTTTCTTTTTCTATTCTACGTTTTTCTACTTCCTTTTATTTTTTATGTATTCGTTTCCATGATATCGTTCGTTTTTCTGCTAAGATAATAATTTCCCTCGAGCATTGACAATGCCTATCATATTTTACCCCTATATTGATTTTTTTCTAAATTAAATACAATATATTGAAAAATATATTATGAGATATATAAGCAAATTTTAAATTAGAAATTTATGGAATCCAAGTACGTCGTCGACATAGGAGACCTTCGATTTTTCGCCATAGACGGACCAAAATTTCCTTCCAGCTTAAGTTTTTTCCGAAGATTTCGATTGGAATTGACGAAGGGTGGAAGTTGTTTTTCGAATACCTCAAAACGTGAGACTTCTTAAATCTCTCAGTCTGAGTATCTTCGGATGCTTTTGCGGGGTAGCCTATACTAGCCCTTAACAATCGGTTTAGCAGGAAAAACTCGGAGTCTGAACTTGTGGGTGTTACTATTACTACCGATGGTCCCGATGGTAGTAGGCTCTTACTTCCGCTTTACAAGAATTTAATTTTAAAACCACTACGCTTACTCTGTGGAACAATAATATTTCTAAAGCATACCTGCTGTTATTTTTATTTACTATGAATTTGGTATAATACGAGTTCATTATTTTTCATTTTCCCCGATACATATTTATATTAGATATGCACATATATATTTACGAATAAGAATTTAACAGAAATAAAAACAATATGATCGACATATCAAATATAAAAAATCGCATTGAATAACGATGGAGAAGAATGATAAAGAAAATACAGAAAAAAGATGAAGACTGGATAAGACGAGAATGATGAATCGGCCGGAACGAAGAAAAAAAGCGCGACATAGAGATAATTTAACAAGAGAAAATGTCGCATTGTGCTTTGCGCGGAGGCATTATTATTTAGAGGCCGGCATTATCCAGCAGGGTGGAATTGGCGGGAGGGAAAACTGATACAGAAGAGAATGAAACAGAAAATGGCTGAATAAGAAAGAGTAAAAATGAGTGAGAGCAAAAGAGAGACAGAGAGAGACAGAGAAAGAGAAAGAAAGAGAGAGAGAGAAAGAGAGAGAGTGAGAAAGAGAGTCGGAGAGGGTAAAAGGAAAAATAAAGAAAAAGAGGATGAGTCTTTGTGCCATCTACTACAATGATCGAGAAAGAATACTCCACCGCCTGGTGATTCGTCCTCCTCGTTGATCATTCCTCCTTGACTGCGAGGGTATCTCCGTTCTTTCAATCCTCCTCATTTCTTCCACGTGCAAGTCGTCGGTGGCTGCTGCACGTTCTTCAAAAAGCATCGAAAAGCCGGCGGATAATTTATTCTCAACAATAACTATCAGAAACAGAAGCCGTATCTCATTTTCTTTTAATATCCAATCATTTTCCTTCTTATTCCTGTCGTACCCAAAATTACATTGGCTTTGTAAGTTTTAATGAAACGATACAGCATGTACATACGGTTAGGAAAATAGAAAAACTAACGATGAACACATACGTAGTTGCATATATATATATGCACGTATATATAATATTCATTAAATTTTGATATTCAAATTAATGTATAAAAAAACATTACAATTCTACAAGCTACGTTTAACGCTTTATGGACCGAATATTTCACGTAACTGGAAACATAAATTATATTACTTGGAAACAACAAATATTAACTACTAAATACAAACTAACATAAACCATTTTCAATGATATTAAATTTATTCCAATTTTTCAAGCAAGAATTGATAGTTAATACAAGAATATTTGATCAATTTTTTAATAGAAATTAGAGAAAAATATGTGTGGACGCCACATAAGGAAAAATTTATTTATACAAAAAAAGCTCTATATTAGAATATAACTTTAAGGTAACTCGGGACTACAGAGGGTTAACCAAAAAATGAAGTTAATATCGTATAAAGATAAATATTACATTATTTATTTTTTCATGCATAAGATCAATTTATAAATTATTACAGTTTTGATAATATCATATCACGCTGTCTAACATAGATTACATTATATTTAGATGATTTTGTAGAGATGAAAAAAGAGAAAGATAAAAAAAGAAAGAAAATAAAGAAGAAACGTCTGGCATTGAAATAAACGTTACGAGTCGTGGAAGCGTTGTTACATCGTCGTTATATTAAAATATGACAATAAGTAAGGTTCACCCATATCTACTCTCTGCCATACCTACCCTCCACTCTCTTTCCTACCTTGCTTCATGCTCGAAACCCCGGTCGTAATTCCACCCTCGTACCCGCGTGCTCTCAGCTTTCCGAGGGCAAAAAATAAAATCCTCGTGATGTCATCTGCAGGTTGGAAAAATTACACACAGCTACGTTAAAAAAACTTTGTAATAAAGATTCGACGAACGACGTATATATTGTATAATACATATGTTTCCTATTTCTTATTTTCTTTTTCGTCGAGTATCAATTTGAAAAAGAAAAATAAATAATAATTATAAGAAGAAGAAGAAAAAGAAAAATAATTAAAATTGGTCGAATATATTTTTCGAGAGATCAAATTAGTCGAGATATATTATAAGATAAAACGAACAAAAATTATTGTCTTAATTAATAATAGTGATTAAACAAATATAAGACCATCATTTCGAGTTTCCCTTCAAAAGATCCATACCAAAGTAGAAAAAAAAATCGAAAGAGTCTCGAGAGGAAGTCAGGTCGGTTGAATAGCAAGGCGGAACCTGTTACCCGAGGTCAGGGACTAATTACTTGATTACGTAATTGCTTTCCCGCCCCGACGAGTCCTCCGCCACAGAATGTCGTGGCCAATAAACTCCCGGTGATTCACCCTCCACACCGAGCAATCCCTTACCACCGTATTGTAAAAGGCTTTCTGAAAAGACAAAACTTTTTAAACGTCTTCTAGTATAAGACAAAAATTCTTATTCTATTAATATAAATAATATTAATTTGTAAGATATCAAATCCATCCGTATTAACGTATAAAAATGTTTTTCTGAAAGTATATAACGGGATGGATAGAACGTGATGGATTAGATGGTAAATGAAAATAAATGGAGGAAGATGAAAGGTGAGTTGGAATCGAAGGGATATATAGAATCACGTGGATAAAGACGAAAGATGGATAAGGGCACTATATTCGCAGCTTTCTATGTCTAAAGGGCCTTTCTTCGTAAGGGTAGGCCGAGAACTTCTCGACATCGCGACATCGCATATCGAGGTTGCTAACGGCGTAAGGGGATGTATTTATACATAAGCAAGTTTGTAGGAGGTGGAAAATGTAGAAAGAGAGAGAAAGAGAGAGAGAGAGAGAGAGGGAGATAGAAAAAGAGAGAAGGAGGGTTTGTCGTGACGCTCAGCAGGAGGAAGGGAGGGAAGAGGCGATAGTGCTATGGGAGTGTGTTGCCCTGTCTGACGTCGCTCATGGAGCTCGTTAGCGTTGCCCTTAGCAACACCCTTACTTTGTCGAGCCGTACCCGCTACTCTACCACCATCGCCAAACCACCCATCGTCTTCCAGAACCAGGTGGGTGGGGGCTGCTGGTGTCGAGGGGGTGAGACGTACGTCGCGAGAAAGGAAATATCATATCGAGCGCATGCGTGCACGATTCGCCATTCGCCATCACGTCATGTGTGTGCGTAAGGGTGAGGCCAAGCAGGCCAGACGCGATACAAAGAAAAATTTGGGGATATGCGGGAGAGAGGTGCGGCTGGTAAAAAGAGGAAAGAAAAAGAGAGTAGAGAGGGGTAGAGAAAAGTTAAAAGAGTTCATCGAAAAATGTTCAAATGCAAAACAGTCTAGATGCGTTAAAATAATTTATCCATATTTTTATATTCCATGGCAGATTATGCGAGTGAATAAGGGAGAGAGAGAGAGAGAGAGAGAGAGAGAGAGAAAGAGATTATTGTCAACTAAAATAATTGCTTCTTCCAGTCTATTAAAAGACTACATAAAATTTGTATCCGTCATCGAAGTGACACGCTCCCGCCACAAACATCCTCTTGGCAGTCTTTAAATTCAATTGAGACGGATACCGTAGGCTTAGCCAAGAAGTATCTCATCAAATCGAGACGGGTCTTTCGATCCGATCCGATCCGGCATTTCAATTTTATTCGATGATAGGAAAAAGGAGAGACGGACATTGGAATTAATAACAAAGTAATTCTTTATTGCGTTCACAGATAAGACCGGTGATATTAATAATGGCGTCCGCGGGGATTTCATTAAAGAGCACGCAGAATGCGGACGACGAGGATATGAAGAAAGAGAAAGTAGAAAGGAGAAAGAGAAATCTCCTCCGATGTGGAGGAGAAGGAGGAGGGTTACGCGCGAGAGGAGAGGAGGAAAACGCAGGAAGAAGGAAAAAATAGTGGGGGAAACGCTGCGTAAGCCCAGGCCAGATCCGCTTAGGGGATGTAATTAAAATCGGAAAAATGTGTTTAATGAATATTCATTTGTGCCTCGATCTGCGATATTAAACGGGCTTGGCTTCGCTCTCTTCGTATATTGCTATTCGCCCCTACATCGACGGCACGCGGACGATAAAAAAAAGGAAAGGAGAGCTAAAAGGGAAGCGATTGCAGTGATCCGAAACCAACCGAATCGACATTTTTTTTCACTCTCCTATGCTTTCGTCCTTTTTTTCATTTTTTTTCTATTTTACCTACCATTTTCGGCAAAGTTACTACAAATCCTCCTTTTAAAAGCATTACACGATCACGAAAATATTCAATTGAAATTTATGA